AAACTCAAAGACTTTGGCCACCTAATGAGAAGGAAGGAGTCACTGGAGAAGAGCCACATGCTGGGAAAGATGGAGGGCAAAAGAAGAAGGGGACGACAGAGAATGAGGTGGATGGATGGAGTCATTGAACCAGCCGGCGTGAGCTTCAATGGACTCCAGAGGATGGTAGAGGACAGGAAAGCGTGGAGGAAAGTTATCCAGGGGGTCGCGATGGGTTGGATACGATTTTGAAACCACCAATAATTTACACATTTGTTTTTTTTAGTTCTGCAAATGTAAAAATCTCCTCCATAAGCATGTGTGTGTGCACATACACACACACACACACACACACACACACACACAAGACAAACCCAAAGTTGAGGATGAAGCATCTTTTTTTCCCTAAGGGCTAATGCCAAAATTAACAAGACATAGTTATGCTGCGCATTCCCGAATTCCTTCTGGTCAGCCTTAGGATGCCAAAAGCTCTCAAAATTAACATTTCAATTGGCTTCAAATATCAGCCCAGATTTACTCACGTGGTTAGGCGTTTTGCTTCTATTTAAAAACAAGATATCAACCCCTTCCACATTTTTCCTTCTTCCTCTCCTCTTTTTCACGGCTGGCTGATCGCTAGCAATTACTCCATTTGCACAAGCGTTCGACTGCTTAGAGGTTCCTAATGGAATGGAAGATAAAATGATCAGCTGAAAGAAAAACAAAACCGATCAAACTTCCAGACAGAATCTATGACAGCAACAATAATTGGGCGATTCAATTGACTTGGCAAGTGGCTGTCTAAAACATAGAAATGTGAGGGTAGCATTTTTTTTCTGCAAATCATTGTATCAGCCCAGCCTTTTTCCAGAATGATCCGACTGCTGCAGTGGGTGACTAAGGAAGCAAGAATATAAATCTGAACTTAAAATTAACATTTTCAAAAATTACTTGTAGAATCAGCTTTTCATTTTCCAGTTTTTTTTTCTGGGGTGCCAGGCTTGGCATAACACTAAAAAAACAATATTCGAGTAGCCGTTATGGGTTAGATTGAATTGGTGCCTCTTGTTGGGGTTTTTTTTTTTGGGGGGGGGGGGGAATACATGTCAACAGGTTTAGCCACACCAAGGATCTTTTCAACATCGATAATACTTTGGCTCTTTCGGTGGTGGGGTTTGCACCTGTTTTTTTATGTCAGTTATTTTACAAGCATGCTGACTCATATAGCGCTACGTACACTGGTAGTTACACAAGAAATTTTAAAAAAAGAATGCAGGAAAATGCTGCACCCATTTTTAAAAATGGTAAGGGTGTACAAGGCAGAAAGTAAAAGTTGGTGGCTGGCCACATAAAAGAAGCTGAGAAAGTTCAAAGAAAAGTTGCCTTGACACCAAAGTAGCACAGAGATAATAAACCCATTAGCTGGCTGCTGGTAATAACACTGAAGTTCCATCACGCCAGTCAAGCCCACTTTGGAATTGTGTGTGTGAGTGAGAGAGAGACAAAGAGGGGGAGAGGGAGAGAGAGAGAAGGAGGGAGGGTGAGAGAGGAAAAGAGAGAGGGGGGAGGAAGAGAGACAGAGAAGTAGGGAGGAAAAGAGAGAGNATACATACATACATACATGAATATACATATATATTTCTCAAGTCCGTAAAAATGTGAGATTTTTAAAATGTCTACATTTCCCCTTACCATTATGAACTGGTAACTACAAGAGGTTAAATGACAAAGACGAAATAGAAACCTGGACAAACAGAGAGAAGAGTCTTAACTTTGCAAGGATGCTAATCCTCGTACGTGACGTATGCAGTGTTTAGAGTGGCACTTCTGAGTTATTTCGACATGTGGATGCAGCGCCTCAACATGAAGGCTGCAGATGGAGCGAAACTTAAAATCAGTACCTAGGGTGCTGAAGACAGGAAAGGGGATAATATTTAAATAAAAGCTTTCCCTTTGCTAGAAGTAAAAAGAGTGCAACTGGTAACGATTAACTTCCCTTGCCAAATTTTAACACACAACAGGAGGCTTTTTAAAAAGCGAAGCATTATAGGAAAACAAGCAGAGAAACCAATGTAAACTTTCTAAACTAACTCAGCTGAGGTAACAAGTAGCCAATTTCATTGGCTGAATGGGAAACTTTTTATTTTATTTTATTTCAAACACAGTTGTACCTGAACTGGGAACATCAACAGTGCATTATAACACCAGATCATTTCCATAGAATTAAAGCAATGGATGGTGATGTAGATTCTACAGCTTTCATGACATTCATTAGCTGCCCAAATTATTGCTGAGTTTTGATCTGTAAATTATAAGTGTCAAGGAGGCTGTAAAACTATATTCAGATTAAATCAATAATGCGCATAAAGAACTGTTCACCGCAAATATATTAAATATACAGCTCTTCCTAAGCTTTCTTTTAAAAAAATTACTCCCCACCCCCAACTCAAAATTATAATGCCTTTTTCCTGTAATTTTTTTTTCTCGTTTTTACACCATTGTGTATATTTTGATAGTACACACAGAATTTTCAGGAACTAAAAGAACCTCAAGAAATATTACATGCAAAATGTTTTGTTTTGTTTTTTAAAGCAGTTTGCACTTCTAAACAATACTGAAATGTTCGGTTCAGTAAATTACTGATGCACTCACGCAAACACTGTGTTATTTACAACAAAATAATGAAAGAACAACTTGAAAACCAGTTTATAATTTAAGTGCAGAGTCTGGGGGGGGAGGGAAGGGGGAAATCAGTCTTCATCGCTGGAGTCTGAATCCTCCGAGGAGGAGGACGTACTGTCACAGCCGGAAGAAGCGTCTGCTTTCTCCGAAGCTTCGTCTGTGCTGTTTCCGTTGCGAGAGCTCGGCTCGGTTTCCCCCTTGCCGCCTTCTTCATCCGGAACCCTGGAATTTTCTTCCTTTTCTCCCAGAGGCTTGGTGAAGCCTGTGCCATGATTTTCACTGTTATGTACATCAAAAATATTTGATTGGGACAAAGCTGGGATATGGAGATTAAGGCCTGGCGTGAGAAGCATTCCTGGGTAAAGTATATTGGACAAGAGTAAAGGGTTAAGAGCTAAGGAGCTGGCCGTGGTGCTGGCCGCCGAGGAGGTCGAAGGAGAACCGGAGACGGAGTTTTCTCCACCATTATGTGCATGTGAGCTTTCTGTCCTCTCTTTCTTTCCGTCCAGCTCTCTGGGGTCCTGCCCTTTCCTCTCCTCGGGAGCAGGCTCAGTAGACTTGGTTAGGAGTCCTCGCATGCCGAGCAAATTTGGTAAACCAGCCATTCCTGAAAGTAACATGGGAAAGACGGCGGCCATGTTTTTCGCGTCTCCTGCCGTGTTCAGACCGGCAGATATTCCCATTAAACCCGTGGTCACCTGTAACGACTGAAAGTTTTGCAGGTTTTGCTGTAAGGCCTGCAGGGTTGAGAGATCCACCCCCGGAAGTAGCCCGTTGGTCAGCAAAGGGGCGACTGGAACGTTTGCCGCCGACGTAGCCGCAGCCGCTGCCTTGGCGATTTCGCTTTTGGGCCGTCTTCCTCTCCTGCTGATTTCTTCTCGTACGACAGGTCCCGTGAGAATGCGGTCAAACATGCTTTCTGGAAGGAATCCCTGGTGGGTAGTGGGGAAAAAAATATGAAAAATTTTATTCCGCGCCATTGTCTGCTCTGCATCACAATTCGGTGCAGTTAAATGCAACACCACAGTAAATAAAATAAGAAACACTAAGCTAATACAAAGTTACGTTTATTATCTATATAAGCAACTTAGAACTGAGGAAAAATTTCCTGACAGTTAAAACAATTAATCAGTGGAACAGAAGTTGCCTCCAGAAGTTGTGAATGCTCCAACACTGGAAGTTTTTAAGAAGAGATTGGATAACCATTTGTCTGAAATGGGATAGGGTTTCCTGCCTAAGCAGGGGGTTGGACTAGAAGACCTCCAAGGTCCCTTCCAATTCAATTTATTCTACTCTACTCTTCTCTCCTCTATTCCAATCCATGCCATGCCATTCTATATTCTCTACTCCAGTGTTTTTCAACCTTGGCAACTTGAAGATGTCTGGACTTCAACTCCCAGAATTCCCCAGCCAGCATTCGCTGGCTGGGGAAGTCTGGGGGGTGGAGGTCGGGCGCC